AGGGAAAGAAAGAAATAAGAAATCACTGCAATGGGAGGAGGTAGGACAGGGCAAGGATGCGAGGCTGCCCAGTACTGAGCTGCTGAGTGGGACAGAGGCCATAGCAGTGGCAGTGGCAGACACCTCTTAAAGAGTCCATATCCATGAGCAGATTTTTGCGGTGACAGACATGCTTGCTCTGAGCACCAGCGCCAGGTTGGCTGCACAGGAGGACTTACAAGGGGATAATGAGCTGTCTGAGTGAGGGCTGGAGGCGAGACTGGCTTTGTACAGAAGTGCCAGGGGTATCTACTGTTCCTCTGGTGAGCCCTCCCCGCTCCTAGTGTGCAGACTCAGTGCCACCATAGCTGAGAAGTCATCAAACTGGATAACAGAGGTTACTCTGCCCAGAGGATTCCCTGAAACCCTGTCTCACCCAACTCATGGCACCCTCCTCAAGCCATATCTAAATGTATCCTCGGTGAGTCAGGTGCCCCTTGCTGAGCAGCACCTAGACTCAACTGACCACGGTCTCTGGCGTGATCTCTTGAGGCAACTATCAGCACAGCATCTGTGGATTGTTTGCTGAATCTTAATGGGTGGCCCTGGAGGGGCATAGGCTGGGGCTAAATTTGGCCTGCAACTGAACCTCTCTCAGGACTGTGCCACTGGACACCTACTTCACAAAATGACATTAATAAGACCAGGAGACTTAAGAGCTTTGTTTAGGACACAGAAAGGCAGCCAAAATGAGAAGAAAAAGAAGCAGAAACCATGAAAACAGAACAGAGATCCAGAAATAATGGAATCAAGCAATCTAACATGTAGAGTTCAAAACACTGCTTATAAAGATGCTCAATGAACTTATAGAAAGTGTAGATGAATTCAGTGAGAACTTTAACAAAGAGATAAAAAACATAAAAATGGAAATGGAAATTATAAAAGGGAACCAGTCAGAAATGAAGAACACACTATCTGAGATGAAAAGTATATTACATAGAATAAGCAGAGTGAATAAAGAGGATTGAATGACCTGTACAGAGGATGAGAAAGCCAAGGACACTCCATCAGAATGGCAAGAAAAAAGAAGCCAAGAGTATAATAATAATTTAAGAAGCCTATGGGACACTATTAAATGTAAAAGTATCTATGTCATAGGGGTACCAGAAAAAAAAAAAGACGCTGAAGAGCTATTTGAAGAAATAATGATGGAAAAATTCCTTAACCTGGTGAAGGAAATAAACATAAAACCCCAGGAAGCTCAGAGAGTCTCCCCAAACCAGAAACCCAAAGAGGCCCACACCAAGACACATCATAATTAAAATGCCAAAGGTTATATACAAAGAGAGACTCTTAAGAGCAGCTAGTTACTTCAAGGGAGCACCCATAAGGCTGGCAGCTGATTTCTCAAAAGAAACTATGAAGGACAGAAGGGTTTGACACAAATATTCAATGTGATGAAAACCCAGGATCTATAACCAAGAATACTTTATCCAGCAAAGCTATCATTTGGAGTCGAAGGAAAGATAAAGAGCTTGCCAGACAAAAATAAGCTAAGGGAATTTAACAACACCAAGCCAGTATTACAGGAAATGTTGGAAGGACTTCTTTAAGAAAAAACATGTATCAAAAACATTCCTATCAACAAGCACCTCGAATGGAAAAGAATTAAGTGCTCCAACCAAAAAACAGAGTGGCTGAATTGATAAGAAAACAAGACCCATACACCTGCTGCCTACAAGAGACTCACCTCAGATTAAAAGATACAGACTAAAAGGGGATGGAAAAAGATATTGCCTTGATGGACCTAGAGGGTATTGCACTGAATGAAACGGGTTGGATAGAGAAAGACAACTATCACATGATTTCATGTACATGTGGAATCTAAAGAACAAAATAACAACAACAAAAGAGGAAATAAACTCATAGATACAGAGAATATTCTGAGGGCTACTAGATGGGAGAGGGGTTTGGGGGGACAAAAAAAGGCAAAGGGATTAAGAGATACAAATGGAGAGTTGCAGAATAGACATGGAGACGTAGAGTGTAGCATGGGGAAGATGGTTAATAATGTAACAAATATGTAAAGGGAGAAAGGAATATTAGATTTAGTGGGATGACACTTTGCGAGTTATGTGAATCTCTGATCACTATTGCATACAACTGAAACTGGTATATTATTGTATGTCAATTGTAATTGAAAAAAACTCAATGAATTACACAATGTAAAATACAAGCAACTTATTGTCTATTATATTTCAATAAAGCCGGAAAAAAAAGATGACTAAAATCACCAAAATCATGAATGAAAGAGGGGACATTACTACTAACCTCACAAAAATAAAACTATGCCAACAAATAACTTGGATGATACAGGCAAAGTTCCAGAAAGACCCAAACTATCAAAACTCACTCAAGTAGAAAAAGAATCCAAATCAAGATACTAAAAAATTGGCTGAATGTAAATCTAAATTCAGTAAAAGAAATTGCCTGAGTCTGACTACAAAAAAAAAAAGGAAAAAAGAAAATCTGAATAGATCTATAGCAAGTAGAGATCAAACTTGTAATTTCAAAACTTTCCATAAAGAAAAAAATCAATGAACAGCTGAGTAGTCGCTTTGTCCTATTCTCTAATTCTTAATACTTCACTTGAAAATTTATATTATAGCTTTGTAAATGGAATTCATTGCAATACCGGTGTGACAGAAATACAATTTTTTCATTAAGGTTCCAATGTTAACAATCCTATGTCTCTCGAAGGTTTCTACTGTTAAATTCAATTGAGTATAAAAATTTTATACTCTATCAGTTTCAAATTCATGCTTCACTTAACCTTGTTTTTATATCTGAGCCACGTCTTTCTCTATTCTTTGACTTTACCATTTCTCAAATTCCCCAACCCCTCAATCTTACTATGTATTACACTGAATCCTTATTTCTCCCTGAACATCTCCTTTCCTTATCCAAACTGGACTGTCTGCTCTCTAGGCTAACTATTGTCCTAGGCCTTCCTTTGTTTTAGTACTTGTATTGGAGCCACTTTAACCTAAATCCTTTTTTCCACCTTCATTTTGGTAAAGTATGTCTTCAAGTAATGTCCTAAGAAAGAGTGGGTGAGAAAAATGTTCCGAATTCTTGTATTTCTGAAAATGTTTTATTCTGCCCTAATACTTAATAACATTGTTATAAATAGAATGTTAGATTTAAAATTATTTTCCCTCAGAACTTTGAAGGCATTGCTCTAGTAGCTTCTACCACCCAGATTTCTAATAGGAAATGCGGTATCCGATTGTTATTCCTTTACAGGCATTTTTCTCTCTTTGAAATATTGCAAAATCTTCTCTTTATAATTGTTATACTGAAATTTCACACTGGTGTGTCTGGGTATTGGCCTTTGACACTCTATGGGGTCTTACTGTGTAAGTCTTCTGCCTCCTTTTAGCTCTGGGAAACTTTCTTGTATTATTTGAGAATTTTTTTCCCTCTTTTTTTCTGTGATCTCTCGTCCTCTAACTTCTACTAATTTTCAGAATGAATAAAGATTAATGAGAATTAGAAAATAAAATACCAAAAAGATGGGGAAAGGAACTATAAACCAATACTGAACTCTAGTCAATGTATGCTAAAATATTTAGGGGGTAATGTACTAATATCTGCAACTTTCTTTGAAAGGCATAAAAATATCCAAGATAAACTGACTGTTGGATAGAGAAGAACAGATAGGATAAAGCGAGTATATTAGAATGTTAATTGAAGAGTCTAGGTGGTGGGTATATGAATCTTCATTGTGTAATTCTTTTAGCTTTGCAGTAAGTTCAAATGATAACAAAATGTTGAGGGAAAAAAACTCATAGGAGATGCTTTATCTTCTTGTCACTTTAACCCCTGCATTTTCTTGTCTATGAGCTTTTAAAGTTCAGTCACAAAAACTGATGTCTAGAAAGAAACAACAAATGGACTTTAGGGACACCTACTGGCTTATTAACAAATAATCTTTCAAGAAGGTATTAGGGACTCAGAACTCTTATTTCCAACTCAGTCACCACTTCAACAATCATTTATTTTTTTGAGTAATCCAATAAATGATAACTTCATACTTCCATGGATGGCAACATCTTTCCTCTAAGGGGTCAAATTAAGAATTACAATTCTTGAGCCCTGACTGAATTATTATTACAGAGTGGTACTAAATAAGTGGAGTAACAGCCCTGCCAATGCTTAAAAATTCAAAGCTCTTAGTATAATACCCAATAAAATAGAATTTACTGGGTTGTATATATATTGATGTGTGAGATATTAAATAAGTACACATAAATCTCAGATATTATCCATTTGACTAAGTTACATGGCAGAACTACAGGCACTGAAGCTATCCAATACAAAGGATGCATTCTTTTGGAAGATTCTTTGGCTTTTGGAGATTATTTTCAAAGAAAATTTCTGTGAAACTATAATAGTAATCAACATAAAATAAGAAAATATCTACGGCCATGCCACCCTGAACAAGCCCGAGCCCGTTTGATCTCAGAAGCTAAGCAGGGTTGGGCCTGGTTAGTACTTGGATGAGAGACCACCTAGGAAGACCAGGTGCTGTAGGCATAAAAAATAAAAAATAAGGAATTGTAAGCTGACAAGGTCTTTGCAATCTGTGAGGTCAACCAAGGGTTGCCTTGCCTAAAAAAATAAAAAATAAGATTAAAAAAAAGTAAACTATATATTTGCTTCACATTATATAAAACTTCAAAGGTAAAGCTAATCAAACTCTGTAACTATATAATACCGAAGTGCTTAAAATAAAATGTAATCATGGGAAATTTTGAGTGCTAGAGAAATATATGAAGCAAGAAAAACAGCTGTTAAGATACTGGAGGGAGATGAAAAAGGATCATAGTATAATAGGATGAAAATAACTGATTCTAGTCTTAGTTCTGCCATCATCTGCATGACCTTGGATAAATAACTAAACCATTGTGCCTAAATTTCCTCATGTGTAAATCAGATAATACTGGCCCTACTTATGTTTCTTAGTGTTGTCATCAGGGACAAACGATAATATTTATGAAATGGATGGGATTTCAAAGTTAAAGTGCTATGTAAGGGATTATGTTATCTCATTTCAGTGAAGCCAGTAAATTCACTTTTAAGTCATTTATTAAGGCAAAAAAACTAAACGCATGATTTGAAATCACATTAATAAAGAACCTTGCCTGTGATTAGTTGACTAACAGATTATATACACTGAGAGCCTAATTAATGACTTTAATATTCAAAACGGCTTTTCTATTTGACAGTGAAACATGTTTATTATAGAAAATGTAAAAACTTCAGAAAATTGAGGCAAAAATAAAAACTGTTCACATTCTTACCATCCAGAAATAACATTTAAGTGTATTTATCCCAAGTGTTGTACATTTATAAATACATTTTTCTATATTATAATTATGTATGGTATCAGATGGGTACTAGATTTATTGGGGTGATCACTTTGTAAAGTATATTAATGTCTAATCACTATGTTGTATACCTGAAACTAATATATTGTATGTCAACTATAATTGAAAAATAAGAAAGTATTATAATAAATACATACATTTAAAATTAAGCATGTGTATATATATGTATATGTGTATATGTATATATACACATACACACACTCATTTTATTAACCTTTCTTATATCGTTATGTCAATAAATATTCATATGTCAATATTCTTTGAAACTTTTTTGTGGCTGCAATACTAATGAGTATTTCTAAGGCATGAGATCATAATATCTAGAAAGATAAGGTACTCACAGCTGGTGGGAGTGTAAAGTGATAGTCAATTTGGCAGTATTTATGTTATACACCATGATACTGCAATTCTCTAGAGAAAATCCCAATTTATGAAAGGCGGCACATACAGAGATAATTAACTGGTAATGCAGTCACCCCTGGAAAGAGGAACATGACGAAAGGAGGGACAGAAAGAGGAAGACAGCAACCTTTCTTTGTATAACCTTTTGAACTACTCCTTCTGATGCCTCCCTAGTTCACATAAGCAGTACTTACTAGAATTTTATCAGCTTTGGCTTCACTAATCCCCTTAATATTTATGAGCTCCTTCTTTGGTGCATAGGCAACAGCCTCCACAGTATGAAATCCAGCTTCTTCCAATTTCTTCACATCGTTGGCATTTATGCCACATTGCTGCAAGTGAAGAAAACCATGAATAAATTTAAATTTTAGTTCTCTCTTCTATCTAATATGGATATCTGCCCTACCTATTTCACAGAGCTGTTTGGAAGAACTGTGGTATTATATCCCAAAGCTTTGAAAAGTGTGCGTTACATATAAGGTATTTATTAACAGATTATCAACCTTTCCATGATCAAAATCAGCATTTTAAAACTAGTACTATCCCTTTATATTAAAATGGACTTATCATGAATTGGGATTAAACCAGTAACTCCCAAGCACTGGGAGAAAAACCTGTAACACTCAACTTTTTATGACTGGGACACTAAATAAACTTTGAGACCCTGGGTTCTAAAAGACCACTTTAAATCAGTATTTCCCAATGTTTTCCACATCAAGCACACATAAAATTGGTATTTTTTACACTAAGCTGCGGTAAACAAATAAGGCTGCCCAAGAACTGAGGGGAGCACTATCTTAGCATATCAATATCCTTTTTGTAACACAATGACTAGAAAGATCTACTCTTACAACCTACATTGAGATTACAGAAAGTTTTTGGTCAGAGACTTATATATCATTTATCAAAACAAACCACCGAAAGCTACCTGTTTCTCCCTATATACAAAGTCAGCTTTGGTTTTATTAGCCACCAAAACCATGACTTCTGGGAGAGTATGAGTTGTGGGGGACGTGTATGTATTTGGGGGTTGGGGAAGGTTTGAAAGATGGGAGAGAATATCTGCCCACAGAAACCATGTCTACTATTAATAATTAAGCAATATGCATGTGTGGATGGATATAAGGATGCTCATGACACTGAAAGCTATGACTCTGAATTCTCTAGTCTTTATCATGAACCTGTTTAAGCAAACTACTGGAGTCTTGAAGCTTAGCTGGGGATAGGAAGAATGTGTGTAAAGAGGCAAAAGAAAGAAGGCTTTCTCTGCTTACCCTCCTACTTATTTCAGCCCATGTCGGTGGCACCCATACTAGGGCCTCTGTACAACGAGCAGAAATAGTGCAAGGCTCCAGCTCTAGTGCTTGATGTTGTTGTGCAGAGTTCTAAATTGGAGCTTGGCTCTCATACCTTAACAACTATAAACCCTTCTCCCTGGCCCCCATGACAGCTGTCTTGCTAGTAACTTCAGCACAGATCTGGGTCTTCTATCCTCCCTGCAACGCTGGCCCAGGCTACTGTAATTCCCTGGACAATAATTTCATACTTAGTACAAGAGCATCCTCTACCATTGGATCCTATGGTTTCTTAGTTTCTGACAATCCAGCTCTAAGAAAAGGGATAAAGTAGGAGGAACATTCTTGACAAAAGGAGAGCTCTGCCCAGACATGTTTAGCAACTATCTTATGCCTTTCCACAGGATCCTTGACAACTCTTTTAAAAACTCTAATTTGGGTCTTGACTACAGGTAGTAAACCACTGGTTTATGTAAATGTTGTGGGTTCACTCAATAGGTAGAGAAATCTAGTCTGGCATTAAATTAGCAACTAAGCACATACCTCTAATCTTGAGATAGGTTGTGGGCCAAAGCTCTCTTCTTCCAGGGAAGTATCTGCATTTGCTTCAAGCTGCATCTGCATAGCCATTACTTAGTGTTCAATACTGAAAAATATAGATGGCCATCAGGAAGAACACTGGAGAGAGTAGAACTGTAAACTTAATTTTGCAATAAATCTCTGAAGAATTACTTGCTAGGCTTTTGGTCTAATCACCGACCTACCCATGGCAGGAAAAAGAACAAATATCTCACGAACTTTCCCTTCTACCTAGGTAGTTTTATCAGAAAAACTTTAAGAATAGCCAGGGGAGAGTATTAGACAAGGAGACACAGGGAGGCTTCTGGGGTGCTGAGAGCACTCTATTTCTTGACCCGAGTGGTGATTACACAGGTATATTCATTTTGTAATAATTCATGGAGCTATATACACTTTTGCCTGTTTTTTCTACATGTATATTGCACTTCGTTTTAGAGGTTTAAAAAAACTGCTCACTCCCTAATCATCACGTGGACTGTCTTCCGATTAATTAAAATATCTTTTTGTCAAGTCGACGTTGGTAGGTAGTAAGAAAAGTATGGTATAATGGAAAGAGGGCGGACCAAAAATCCAGCTCTAACACAAAACAGCTGTAATTTTAACTCATTACACCTCTCTCGACCTCAGCTTCCTCGCCCACTCCCATAAGTGTTGGAAATGAAGGCCTCGAAAAGATTCCTCTCTACTCTAATGACGGGTCCGCTTCTGTTTTCGCCACAACGAGCTCCAAGAGTCGGTTGGGCTCGGGCACGCCCTGCCTCTTTTGGCGCAGAGGGGCCGGGTTCAGTCCGCCGCAGGAGCACGGGCCTGGGTCTGGTTAACGCGCGGACAAACCCAGAAGCGGAAAGCGGCCGAGTCTGCGCCTGACACACTCACCTCAGCCTGCAGCGCTCCTATCTGGAACGGGCTGGGCTGTGGGCTCCGACCTCCGTCCGCTGGGCCGGCGCGCTACCAACCCCGGACCGACTCCAGACGCCCTTGCTTGCGCCTCACTTCTCTGCTCCCTTGTTCCAGCCTTCTGCACACAACCCAGGCGAGTTCCGGCTCCCAACTACGCGCCGGGAGCACGTCTCAGTTCTCCTCAGCACTCGGCCTCCCCAAGCAGCGCGCGATCTGCCCGCCCGCTTTCGGAAATCCCGCCAAATCCTCTAGAGCAGTCACGCCTGTGCCGACGTAACGTCTCGGATTCGCCTTCTAGCCTGTCCCGGCGCTGCTTGCGAGCCGGAAAGCTAGGCTCAAGGAACTTGATCTTGCATGATATTAAGAATTACCTTCTTCCTTTTAACCCTAAGGACTTACTCAATACTTTAGAGTTGCCGCCTTCTCATTACCAGATAGAGAACTACAACTCCCAAGAAGTAGTGGAGTCGGCCGGAGACTACATCTCCCAGTGTGCACCGCCCGCGGACGCCGCCGCCGTAGCTCCTCAGCTACTCTTGGAAATAGTCTGGTTCCAAAGAGCTATTTTTGGTTAACCTAAGTATCTAGAGGTGGGCTTCCGACTCAGTCAAATTCCCTGAGCCAGACGCTTTCCAGGCCCCTAGAGGTGATGGAGCTGAGGAAGCTACATCTCGATGAAACTGGGAAATCGAGCTACTACCAGGAGGGAGAAAGAAATGGTTGTAATATTAGTCAACCTGACTCCAAAAGAAGGAGGCACTGATTTTGGGAAGGTAAACCATATCGTGTTTTACTGGAAAGTCTGATCTGTGATTCCGGTTTTAAAAGGTGAATAGGGGTTTCTCGGACGAAGGAGAAGCAATGGAAGACAAGCAGATCATATTGGACATGGAAATTTAACAACCTGGTCTAAGAACAGTATTGTTTAATAAGGGAGGAAAAGTTTAAGAGGTGATGAGACTGTAAAGTTACATATAGTTGAAGAGGCTTAAGACCATGTATGGAGCTTTGGTGTTTATTCTTTAGATAATGGGAAAATCATTGAAAGTTTGTAAGCAAACAAGTACGGTTAGATATATTCTCTTCACTACTTTATGTTTGTGGAGTGCTGTAAAATTCGTAAACTTTAATCCTCACACCATTATCTTGTAGCATTGAAGGATAGATATCAGGAGAGAGTAACAGCAAAAACTGTTAAGAAGCTTCTTGCAATATTTCAGGCAAGAGATGAAGGCTTGAGTTAGAGCAATGAGAACAGATTCAGGAAGCATTCTGGAAGTAGAATTAACCTAACTTAGTGATTATAGATAGTACCTGGGGATAATAATGAACTGCCTTCCATACCAAAAGTACCCACAGTTACCTCCTATTTTTCACACCCCCGTCCTTAGAGCATCTGCAAACCCATAGCCCCTCTTGGCTGAGTGAAGTCATATGACTGACCCTTCGTTAAAATTAAATTCCTGTGGCTGTGTGGATGTCAAATGAGAGAAACCCCTTCTAGAAAGATTAAGAAATTGAGAGACTAAGAAAGTGAGAGTCTGAGACAGAAAGAAACAGTTTGGGGGGTGGGGGAACAGTTTTGAATTCTGACTGCTTTCCAGATCTCTTTTCCAGGTTCTCAGGGGCCCAGCAGCACTTACTGTTCTTAAGGTCTATGAGATACCGCTATACCCCAATAAAGCTCCCTTCCCATTTTTTTCTGCTTAAAATAATTTGAGTAGTTTTTTGTTCCTTTCCTCTAAGACAAACCACTAAGAACTTTGAAATAAGACAAACTAGATTTCTCACTAACAGTTAAATTAGCAATTCATGAGAATATTTATATAAATGTGTAATTAAAAAGTTTGGGACATATTCTTAATTACAACCTAAGTGACCTATCTGAAATCTCAAGAAGGCAGGCAACCTCTGATAAGACCAAAACTCACAATCAGCAGAAACCTAATCTTTTGTCTCGAGAAAAATAACTTCAGCATAGTCGGCCTGAAGCATAGGAAGAGAAATCCAGAAAGGGAAACCCAGTGTCCAAGTGATCCATTTGAGTAGTACAAGGATGATTCAACATTAGGAATCCTTTTATTATAATTGACCACATTAATAGGTCACGGAGAAAAGAATATGGTTAATTTCATCATTTTGAAAAATCAATAAAATTCAACATAAATTTCTGATTAAGGAGAAGAAAAGGTAAAAAGAAAAAAATACAGATAAATGAGCTGCCATCATTTGCTCAGTGGTGAAGCGTTGGAAACACTTCCATTAAAACCAAGGACAAAATTGTCTATTGTCACTATTATTTACTATTGTTTAGGAAGTGCCACTGTCATAATAAAAGAATGAAATAATGAGATAATAAAAAATAAATAATAGAAGATGCAAATGTTGGAAAAGATTTACAAATACGATTATACCCGGATAGTTTAAGGGATAAAAAGACATTAGTGTAACTAATTGCAAATATAAAATCATAGCTTTACCAAATGCTAATAACCAATTAGACAATGTAATAGAAAAAAGATACCATTCACAGAAGAACAAAAACCATAAATATATAGGAATAAACTTTTAGAAATGTTCAGGACCTACATAGAGAAATATCTAAAACTATGTTCGCTGAGGAGAAGGCTCAATATTATAAACTTGAAAATTCTCCAGAATCAGTGAGTTCCCAATCGAAATCTCAATGGGATTTGTGGCAATCACTATTGATTGCCTACCCAACAGTCATTGCCCTTTATAGCTAAGGAAACTTACTATGTGAGAGGATGCTCACTTACAAGCTTTTGGATGACTTTGCCTTCATCTGTATTCTTTTATGTATCGTTTGAATTTTTAGTATTAATATATTTTTATTTTTGATAATTTTTAAACTGTAACAAAAATATAAAATATCTCGAAATAAACTTAACAAGAAAAGTGCACATCCTATATGAAGGAAACTTTGAGATATTAAAGAAGGATACAAAAAGAAAAGCTTACTATCTACTTGTATTGGAAGGCTCAACATTTTAAAGATATCAGTTCTCCAATAGTTGATCTTTAGATTTAATATAACATGATCTCAGTAAAAAATGCCAACAGTTTTTTTTGGGGAACCGAATAAGCTAGTGTTTAAAGAATCATATGTGCTTCTTAGTTTGACATAGGAACATATTTTAGACAGAATATGTGTTCTGTTTTAGAGCTGTGCTGTCTGTATATTTAGCTGTGGACAACTACATATTGCTCTCACAACATTGATTCCTGCAATAATTCCATCCTGATAATATGAATGCCAGTTGTGTTTACAAGAACTGATAAGAGGAGTAAAATCATATGATCATTACAGCAGACAAAAATAAAGCATGTGATAAAACTTCAATATCTATTCATGTTAAACCTTTTAAAAACTAGGAGTAAATGAGAACTTAACTGGACAACAGGTATAACAGCAACAGTAACAACATAAAAGCCTTTTGTAAACATCACATTTAATGGTGAAACTTTAGAGCTATCCTTTGAGATGAAAATAAGACAAAGATGCCTGTCTGTCACCACCTCTAATCATCACTGCGCATTAAAGCAAGAAACAGAAACAAAGGGAATAACTATTATAAAGGCAGAAATGAAACTCAACTTTGTAAATGGTATGATTATGTATATTAAAAAATTGAAAAGAAATTTCATAAACTATTAGAATTAAGAGTTTAGCAAGGTGGCTGTACACAAAATCAATATACAAAAACATTGTACTTCATATACTAGGAAAAATAATGACATTTGAAAAATGATGCATTTTACAAAATCAAAAAGTAACAGTAAATCTAATAAACTATATATACAATCACAATTGGGAAACATAAAATTTTATTGAAAGGCTTTAAAGATTAATGAAGAGACATCATAGTTATGGATTGGAGGTTCAGAATTGTATATATGCCAATTCCCCTCAAACTGATCTATAGATTCAGTGCTATCAATAAAAATCCCAACAAGTTTCCCTTTCCTGTTTTTGCATCTTCACAATCTGATCCTAAATGTCACGTGGAAATGCAAAAGGCTAAGACTAGCCAAGGCAATCTTAAAAAATAAAATGACGGAACTTTCTTCTCCAGATATCAAAACTTTAAAAAAAATTTTATTTTATTATTAGTTTCAAGAATACAGTATATTGATTAGACATTTGTATAGTTTATAAAACAATCTCCTTAATTGCTCTTTCCTCTGGCTCTCCATCTACCCATTACATTAATGCTAACTGCATTCCCTATACTGTACTCCCCATCCCAGTGACCATCTATCAACTACTAATTTCTACTTCTTTAACTCTTTACCCCATTCTTCCAGCCCCCCAACCCACCCTCCCCCTGGCCATCACTATATTCGTGAGTCTGTTTTTGATTAGTTTGTTCTTTTTGTTTCTTAGATTCTGCATATAAGTGAAATCATATGGTATTTATCTTTCTCTGACTTATTTCATTCAGCATAATAACTTCTAGATCCATCCATGTCATTGCAAATCAAAACTTCTCTTAAAGCTATAGTGATTTAGAGAGTGTTTTATTGGCTCAGCTATAGACAAGTAGATTAATGGAAAAAAGAGAATTCAGAAACAGACCCATGCATATATGGATTCTTGATTTATGACAGAGGTTATCACAGATAATTTATCACTAGGGAAAGGATGACCTTTTTAATAAATGATGCTTGGACAATTGGGTATCCATTTAGGGAAAAAAATGAACTGCTATCTGATATATATAAAAACCAATTTTAGGTATATTGAAGATCTGAATGTGAATGAGAAAATTATAAAGTTTTAGAAGATAGAATAAAGAATATTATATCTTCTAAATTTGGTTGTAGGAAACATTGATACACTTTTGAAAACAATTTAGCATTATCTACTGAAATTTAAGATTTATATATCCTTTGATTTAGCAATTTCTTTCTTTAGTATATGCTCTATATTCTAGGGCCTAGAGAATCATTTGCATCAGGAACTAGAATGTCTATCACTGAATCGTACATTTATGAATGATTAAAATAATATTGTTATGTATATTTTACCACATTAAAAATATTGCCCAGCAAAACATTAATTTTTTAAAAATCAATTCAGAGGAAGGATAGGCTTTTCAAAAATGGTGCTAAAGCTATTAGGCCTAGTGAAAAAATGAATCTCAACCTAAACCTCAAACCTTTTACAAAACTTATTTCAAAATGGATCATAGATTTAAATGTAAAACATAAAACTATAGAACTTTTAGAAAAACATACAAGATCTTCAAGAACTAGGACTAAGTGATGAGTTCTTAGACATGCCACCAAAAACACAATCCATAAAAGAAAAACTGTTAAGTTGGACTTCATCAAAATTTGAAGTTTGTTCTGCAAAGACTGTTAAGAGAATGAAACAACATGCTATAGACTGGGAATAAACATTTGCAAACCACACATCTACCAAAAGACTTGTATGTTTAAAGAACTTTCAAAACTCAACAGTAAAAAAAAAAAATCCAATTAGAAAATGGGCAAAAGACATGAACAGACATTTCACCAAAGATATACAGATGTTAAATAAGCATACAGAAAGATGTTACAAGGGAAATATAAATTACACCACAATAGTATCATTATATATTTATCAGAATGGTGAAAATAAAAAACAGTGCCAATCTAAATGCTGATGAGGATGCGGAGAAACTGGATCTCTCATGGATTGCTGGTGTGAATATAAAATGGTGAGGCCACCCTGGAAAGTAGTATGGCAGTTTCTTGTAAAACTAAATATACACTTGTCCTATGATCCAGCAAACACTTTCTTGGGTACTTAGAGACATAAGAATGTATGTTCATACAAGACTTGTATATAAATATTCATAGCCACTTTATTTGTAGTAACTCAAAACTGGAACACCCAATGCCCTTCAGTGGGTCAATGGTTAAACAAACTATGGTACATCCATACAGTGGGAATAATCCTCCGCAATAAAAAGGAAGAAAATACTTACACACTTGGATAAACATCAAGGTCATTATGCCAAATGAAAAAAAAAAAGCCAGTATCAAAAGGTTACATACCTTAAATTCCATTTATATAACATTCTAAAACTGATAAAATTAGAGATGAAAAACCGGTTAGTGGTTGCCAGAGGATAAGGACGAAGTTGTGAGTGTAACTATAAAGTGGTAGCAAAAGGGAATCATAACTCTCTGGTGATGGAGTTCTGTATCTTGACTGTGGTGGTGGTTACACAAATCTATCCATGGGGTAAAACTGCATAAATCTATACACATACATGTAAATGAGTTATATGTAAAAACTAGTGCAACTGAATAAGGTCTGTAATTACCTCAATATAAGTGGAATCATATATTATTTGTCCTTTTGTGCTGAACATTTAATAGTTTCAGCTCTTATGTTTAGGTCTTTGATCAATTTTGAGTTAATTTTTGAATATGGTATAAGGGTCCAAATTTATTCTCTTGTATGTGGATATCCAATTTTTCCACTAAGCATAATATTTTTTAGGTCTATTAATATTTAACATGTATCAAAATTTAGTCCTTTTCATGGCTGAATAGTATTCCATCCTATGTATAAACCACATTTTGTTTATTCTTATGTTGATAGAGACCTGATTTGTTTCTACATTTTGGCTATTGTGAATAATGCTGCTATGAACCTTGATATACATTTATCTTTTCAAGTCCCTGTTTCAATTCTTTTGGATATCTACCTAGGAGTAGAACTGCTGGGTCATAAGGTAGTTCTGTGTTCAACATTTGAGAAACTGAAACTGTTTTCCATAGTGGCTGCATCATTTTACATTCCCACCAGCAATACACAAGACTCCAAATTTCCCACATCCTCTCCAGTGCTTATTTTCCTTTTTTTAAAAATTATGCCCAACCTAATATATATAAAGTGGTATCTCCTTGTGGTTTGAACCTGCATTTCCCTAATGACTAATGATATCAAACATCTTTTTCACGTATTTACTTGTTGGCCATTTGTATATCTTCTTTGTAGAGATGTCTATTCAAGTCCTTTGTCTATCTTAAAAATTGGGTTGTCTATTTGTTATGTTGTAAGAATTCTTTATATATTCTGGATACTAGACTCTTACCAGATATATGATTTGCAAATACTTTCTCCCATTCTTTTTTTCACTTTCTTGATAATATCCTTTGATGTACATACGTTTCTAATTTTGAAGAAGTCTAGTTTTTGTTCCTTCTCTTTTGTCATCTCTATAATTCCATTGCCATACATGTCATGATGACATGAGGATTTAGCCCTATGTTTTCTGCTGAACGTTTAATAGTTTCAGCTCTTATGTTTAGGTCTTTGATCAATTTTGAGTTAATTTTTGAATATGGTATAAGGGTCCAAATTTATTCTCTTGTATGTGGATATCCAATTTTCCCAGCACCATTTGTTGAAAAGCGGGTTTTTTATTTTTATTTTTTGAGGTGATGAGACTGTTCTAAAATTGATTGTGGTGATACGTGCACATATCTGTGAATATACTAAAAACCATTCAATTGTGCACTTTAAATGGCAAATCATGATTATGTGAAATATAGTTCAATAAAATTGTTTTTAAAAAAAGTGAAAAAACACCACAGATGGCTAGTTCCCACTCCTAGAGTTTCTCTGATTCAGCAGATTTGGGGGAGGCTGATGCTACTAGTCTACAAACTATACTTTGAGAACCACTCTATTAGTTTGTAGAAATGAGTTTTTTGAGAAACTTCAAAACAGTTTTCTTTTATTGTCCTTGAGAGACAGGGTAACTGTGGTTTATACCTGGTTCTTATACTCAGGTCCTGGCATATTTTAATCTTATTTTGGTTTTCAAATAAGTGGGTGTTCTTAGAGCTTTCTTTGGCATATCTTCAAAGGTCTATTGGATACAGGGTAAAAACACTCTTCACTTCATAAAGAGACACTGCTTTAAAAAGATTTCATATAATAAACTTATTTTAATAGTGCAAAAAATAATCTGCTTCCAGTCAGTGAAGGAAAACTTCCTAAAAATTTAATAAAAATAGTCAATACTTGGAACAAAATCAAATAACTAAGTAAATATCACAATTCTGTACTCCAAATCCAAGAAAGCAGAGACTATCATTACAAGCCAAATCATTCTTGGAACTGGTCACTCCAGGTTACCAAAATGCACAAAACAAAACTACTTTTTAGGCTTACAGAAAATAAATAAAACAACTCTAGTAAGAAAAGTAATTTAAGTTCAATGGGAAATAGACCATATTGGTGATTTTAAAAGTTTTTCAAGGAGTTTGTGAAAATAGAAAACATCTACATCTTGATTTTTATGGCAAATGAGTTTCAAGTTGACTTTTGAAGCTTAAAAGACCATGTAATCTTTTGACTTATAACTCAGAAGTCAAAGCAAACCAAGAGGGAAGATAACATTCATGAGACCCATAGGATTTTAACCTGATCTTAACGTACAAAGCAAAATTTTAAGGTGAATTAGTTTAAAAATGCAAATATATTTCAGTTTAGAATAAATATAAAGTAAACAAAAATTATCATGATTAGGATTTGACTAAAGTTTGGATGAAATTTTTTTTATATTTATCTCACAGATAGTATTGATCATTCAATATCAATGGATATTTTTATTTTTGTATATGAGAAGGGTATGGCTTCAGAAACCCATACTTACACTAAGTTCATTACTATTGCCAGAATTTGACAAAGCTGGTATTTTGGGTATGATATTGTTTGAAGTGTATTTATTTAATAAAAGGAGCTGAGAATAATGCTGTAAGGTATCTTTCAGAAAGATGGAAACTGCCTGGGCAGAAGGGTACCTCTCTATACATACATCTCTGTGTACTTATATATACATCTTCTTACTACATCACAAACGCAAAATCAATATATTTACATATATGTA